AAAAATAAAGAATTATATATATATATATAGATATAATATATATTTATAGAATTTTAGATAGATAACAATATAAATTTTTAGTCGATTATAAAAATGAAGAATGAGCTGTATCAATTGATTTAAAAAAAGTATATAACTGTTCTTGAAAAAAATATACACAATATTAACTATTTTTTTTTAAAGCAATCATAAAATTTTATTGTGTGACGAATTCGATTTTTGTTTTTTTTCAGGGCCAAATTTGAAAGTTGTGTCGACAATGTCAGCCGGATACGATCATTTAGACGTTCCAGAAATTAAAAAGAGAAAAATCAAAGTTGGGCACACACCGATGGTACTATCCGCTGCAGTGGCAGAAATTGCGGTGCTCTTAATGTTATCCACAGCGAGACGCGCCCATGAAGGTCGCATGAAACTAGAAGAGTAATTGTTTTTTATCTTACTTTAAATTATAATTTAATCTATTTTTCTCTACTATCCTATATTTATAAGACAGCACTTCTTTTTTTTCTTCACATGAGTGCTCCATATGGAAAAGCTTTTCAAGTTTTTTTTATACGTACAAATTATGTATGTATATATCTATGTATACAGAGTGAGGCATCTAAAACAGGCCACCTTAATAATTCACGAATTATTCAGGTAGCCTGTTTTATAATAGATGCCTCATCGTGTGTGCATATGTGTGTATATTGTATATATGTATTATAGAAAAAAATTAAAATATAGTCCAAATAGTCTATAAATAAGATAATAGAAAGAAAATCGTGTTCCTTAATTGCTTGTAAAGATTAGATAGAAATTGATGTAATCAGTATAATCAAAGAGTATTTTTTTTATTAAATGAATCATCAAATCCCTTTCTAACACGTTTGATAAATATTTTTCCATTTTATTTTATATTATTTTATTTATACCGAATTGATATACATACATATTTATATAAAAGTTGATATTATAAATCTATAATTATGAATTCTAATTGAAACAGCAACAAAATTATTTAATCTATCATCGTCTTTCATCTAGTGTTTAATTAAAAATTAAATAGTAATGTAATTAAGAGGTGATACAAGATCAGGACCACAATGGCTGCTAGGACAAGATTTACGAGATTCCACAGTTGGCATCTTTGGCTTAGGAAATATTGGCCAAGCAATAGTTAAACGATTAATGGGATTCGAAGTAGGGCGTTTTATTTATACCGGACATTCGCGCAAAAAAGCAGGTACACTAGCAACTTAATAGGAAAGTAATATTTTTTTCAATTTTAATGTCTTACATAGTGTATATGTATATATGTTACATTCTAAATTTTTCTATTATAATACCTATAAAAATAATTCAGTTACAAAGCATGCGTTAATTATATATATCGAATGTCTCATTTTAATTCCCCATTTTAAATAAATAGGCTCTTGTAAATGAATATTGTTTGTACTAACTGCGCCCGATAAGTGCACTACCAGCACTGTTGTACCATTCTATCCTTGTTTTAAATCTAATGAATGATAACAATTAATTTAATAGTACGCTTTCCGAATGCAGCATAGAAAATGTGAAAGACAAAAACTGTATGATCTGAAGAAGAATAAACATAGTCAACAAAATTAAAAAGAATCAATTTTTTAAGATCGCATAAAAGTCATCACTATTTTTTAATTTTTACATAACATGTTCTTATTCTGCATATAAAAATATTAAAGTGGTTACCAGTTTACCTAAACAATAGTTTACGATACATATATTTTATTTTAGCATATTTTGACATGAGAAATATAAAATATCTCGTAAACCATTAATCTTTAATTCTAAAACTTTTATATGCAAAATAACAGAGAAAACTTTCATATTATGGAAATTTTCATATTATGGAAAAAATTCATCCAATTCTATTTGAAAAACTGTGATATCTTTGGTATATTATTAAAAAAAATTAACTTTCAAAATAATATTTTTGTCTAAAAAATATTTCAACGATAATACATCATTTATAAGATATTTGAAGTGGGCAATTGAAATGAGACGCTCTGTATATTGTTAAAAAAGTTGATTGATTATATTATTTAGATGCAGATTTCCAAGAAGCAATATTCGTTAATTAAGATAATAATAATGAATCAGAACAATTAGTAAAAATTTCCAGTAAAATTTATGGAATTATGTAAAAAGTTCTGCTATGTTTAATAATAAATAGTCCTTTAAAATAAGTAACATGATTTAGGTGATGAACTTGAGGCAACGTTTGTATCTTTGGATGAGCTTCTAAAACAGAGTGATTTTATCGTAATCTCAGCTACTCTAAATAACGAAACTCGAGGACTTTTTGATGACAATGTTTTTGATAAGATGAAGAAAACAGCAATCTTAGTGAATGTATCTCGTGGTCAAATTGTTAATACTGATTCACTTGTGAGAGCTCTTCGTAATAAGAAGATATTCGCTGCCGGTTTAGACGTTACCGAACCGGAACCGCTACCGCCGGAACATGAACTTTTAAAACTACCTAACGTCGGTTAGTAATTATTTTTATTTTCTTGTTACTTTCTTATAATATACGATATCACACTTCAGTATTCAATAAATCAACTATGCTCTAAAAATTCTATAATTTCAAAATATTCAAGGAATGTAATATTATGATTATGGACTAATAAAAAGGAGTAAAATCTCCATAGTTTTCGTTCTGAAAACGGTCTTCAATTTTTTTTGTCAGTAGAGGTACTGTTGTAGCTGAAGGTTTTCCGTGGCGCAAATATTTAAACTGCAGAAATCGAATTGTTCAATTTAGCCATATTAAAAATTAATGAAATTATGCTCGTTCGACGCGTTTCTAAAACAAACGAATCTGACAAAAGTTTAGAAATTGTCAATCTAAAAGCAAGCGCTGCGAATTTCTTTACTGCTGCGGAGTCCACAGTAAAGATTGCAGTCCACTGCAGAAATTTACTCCTTTCTATTACTTCGTAATTATGATTTATAATTTACACAGGTATAGTACACATTAATTTTCTATTATGGTAATTACAGCAATTACGCCACATGTGGGCAGCGCGACAATCAAGACTCGCAACGATATGTCAATAATTGCGGCGCAAAACATTCTCAATGGGCTTGAGGATAAGCCCTTGATTTACCCTTTATAGCAACTCACTTTTCTTATATATTGTGCATTTCTTACATTGTATTAAAAAATATTACTAGAACTGTATGATTGTTCATTCATGACGTAATAAGATCCTCTTTGATTTTTCAAATTACACAAATATATTCACTTGACAAATTCTAATATTAATTTAATTATTTATAAAATTAATTTATTTTTTAAGTTCACTGTATTTACCGATTAAGGCTCTTGACTAGTCGCTGTAGCCATATTGGATCATGATGTCAAATGAGAAATGATACGTTGACGTTTCTTGCCTGCCATTTCTAAATAGAGAATTTGATTGCTTTTTGCGAAAATTGGTTGTGACAACTAGTCAAAAACCTCGATCCTTAAGTAGTCTCTGAATAGGGTTAGAGCCGCTTTTTTTCTTTCTTTCTCCTAGATGAATTTCAATTCTAAAAGGAGTTACAGTAAAAGAGGAATTAAATGATTCAGTATTTAGTCTTTTCAGGAGGCTCCAGAACCATTGCTTCGTAACAATTGAGTAATTTTGTGTGTCTATTTAAGGGTATGCTGGAGTGACCAAATTATTGACATTACAGTCGTATAAAAATCTGTGAATTGATGAAACGGAATAAAAACTTCTTTTACAGGATTAAAGTAGATACAAAATTAGAAGAGCCCAATGCAGCACCTGTAATTTGACGTCTACTTTAATCCTATAAAAAGATTTTTCTATTCTATAATGTCAATAATTTGATCACTTCAGCATCCCTTTAAGCAATCAAATATAATATTTATATTAAGTGAGTTATCTCTAGAAATATTTCTAAAAATCTTGCTTATCAAATCCAATTATTTAATTGTTATATTGAAATGATCTTATAAAAGGTACTCTATAGAATATTTTCAAAAATGTTATAAATGCATTAATAAATTTAGATATCTTGAAGTCTTATGATCTTAAAACTTGTTATATTCTCTTCTCTCTCTCTCTCTCTCTCTCTCTAAAATCTATCAAATTTTAAAAAGTTTTAAACAATTTATTACTTACTTAATGTAATAAATTGGAACGTTACTACATATGATTTTTATAAAAAATATCAAATATTTTCTTAACAACTATTTTCTTAAATAATATTCTAACTTCGATTATAATTCTGCATTTCTCAAAAAACTTCTCTATAGTATTTCTGTTTCTAAATTATCATATAATAATCTTTTTAAAAGATCTCACTTTTCAAAACACACTTGCAATAATAGAATAAACGCAAGCAAGTAAAAACATAAAAACATATTTGATATTTTTGAAAAAAAAAATTGTTTATATAATAATTGCAATAACTTAAAAATTCATATCTGAACAGTGTTCAGCATTTATCACCCATAATGAACAACAGGTAACCATCAGGCTTCCACTACTGCATTTTTTAAACTACTTAAGATAGGATCAATCTTATTTTCCAATGACAATACATGACCGGTGTTGCAACTGTGACTAGCAATAAAACTAACAACCAATGGCAACTTATTTATCTGGATTACCTAAAAGCAAACACAGAGAATAAATTAATATTAATTTATTATTAATTATAAATATTATTAATTGTGAAAACAATTTCTAAAATCAATTAGCATCATATTATATATATTCATAATACATTAGTAATTTTAGAATTTATTTTATAATATCTTTAATATAATTCAAATAATTTAATTTAAACTTAAAAAATAATTAAAATTTTAAATGATGACTTTATTATTTAATAATGATGAAAATTTATAGTGTTAAATAAAATAATCAATATTAAAACATTTTTAGTAATGTCTAAATAATTGTTCTTTTACCTTTGTTTATTAATTATTATCTGTATATATTTATCGAAGGTTAAACCACTGAGGGGCATTGCAGTACAGATTTGGAGCATTACAGGACATTAATTAAGAAAATTGTGTATTATAATGAACGGTATGAGATTATGCATTATTAAGACATTAATAGACATTATTAGAGTATTAGCGGGCATAAAAATTGGACATTACTGAGCATTAGTAGGTATTGATGTACACAATTTTGGTCAGTGATTACCCCTCGATGTTTATACATTGTAATTTTCAAGATCTCGATCATTATTTTACTTTGAAATTACATAAAATAACAAAATTTATACATAAATTCTAATATAAATGTATATTTCATATAATTTATATATATTTACCTGATAATTACTATACATGCATATAATAGTTTTATTTTTGCCAAGCCCCAATTTACTTCCTTGATCTGTAGCCATTCCAAAAGTAGATAAAAAACTGGCTCTTGTAGCTAATTCTGGTGCCTTTTCATTAGCTACTGATATAACAGGTACTCCATCCCTGTCAGTAATTAATATGCTATGCAAACCTTCCACATCAGTTAACAGTCCATAGAGAAATTTCTTCAATTCCTAAAATAAATAATAATTTAAATAAATTATATTTTAAAGAGAGAATGATCTTAATTTCAGCAATGTATTTAAAGAATGATGTATTGCATTGACACAGCATACATCAAAATGATTAATTAAATACTAATATCGTATATATATTTACACACATCACAGAAATTAAGATAACTTAATAAAAAAACTAGCACCTGTATCAAGTGCACAATAAACTATACCACTGCCACAAGTACTCCAAAAATTTTGTAAATTTTTGAGGTAGAATGTTATTTATTATCATTAATAATAAAATATATATATGTATATATAAGTAATTTAGCAAGTAATTCAAAATATCGCCAAATATTTTTCTGAATACTAACAATATAGCAATTAAAAAATTTTTTAGAAATTTTACATACAAGTTTGCTGTTGGTCAATTTTACTGAATCACCGCGATAAGACTGAAAGAATACCGATTCATTATAGAATCAGCATAATATAAATAAAATATAAATTTATTACAGAAACTGAACAAAAGTTGCCGAATTCTTTTATTAGCTTGTAATACTAACGGTAATAAAGATTCATCTTTATCTAAATTATGTATTCCATTGAAATGTTTACAACCTGATAAATCTTTTTTTTTTAATTTTTATTAATAATTTGCTAGCAGACAATACTGACAGGCTTTATCAACAAAACATGAATATGAACACATATAAAGCTGTTGCAATATCTAACAATAAATCAATCTGTTTTCTGTTATTGTACTGCAGGTAGTCTGCTTTACTGGACGTGAACACAAACTTTTAATGATGACCTTATTGATAACCTTTTTGTATTCTTTTTGTCACAATTTTTAAAACTTTTGCAATAGCGTTGTGTGATAAAAAAAGATTTATATATTTTAATCTCTCCTAAAGCTGATTCTACAATGAATCGGTGACAAAAATCTTAATTAAATTTTATTTTAACCTAAATAATTATGATTGCATCTACAAGTTGTTAAATATATATAATGAGTCGTTCACTTGAACTAACAGGAAGGAATAAATTCGAATTTTATCAGCCTTACGAAATTGGCTAACTTCATTGATTCACCGATAAGATTTAGGATTAGCGACTACAGACTCATTGTAGAATTAGCATAAACAAAACAAAGTGTATAACCTCAAACGTAATGTATAAAGCCTTTCAAAGCAAATGTCCGAACTTACGACCGTCATTCTTTCCAAGGAACGTGCACGAATCTGTAAACGATGACCAAGCGACAGAACTAATCTCTTGAAGCGTACAATGCTAAATCTTTAAGGTTTATCGCGTCGCAAACTCCTCGTAAACATGCTCCTATCGTAAGTTGCAACAACCGTTCTAACGTCATGCATTGGCGTCAGAATGCCCAAATCCGCACACGTATTGATGTTAGCCAATCACAGAGTAACTGGTCACATGACGAATTTGGCGAGGTTTGAGGAGGTTCTCTAATCTAGGCATCTAACCTAGACTGATCTGGAATCTGGGACAGATCTCGGGATAGTGTGGTGTTGTAGTCTGCTTCTACTCCGACTGCCTCATAATTGTTTTTCTTAAACGAGAATTCTGTAAATAGCAGAAATTAATATATAAAAATGAGTTTAGCTGGCACACTCTACAATCTCGTTCTCAAACGGACGTCTACATTTACGGTAGCCGTTTTAGCCTGCGCCTTCATGTTTGAAAGAGGATTCGATATGGCCTCCGACAAGATTTTTGACTCTATTAACAAAGGAGTAAGCATTCACTTGTGTTTTCTATCGTCTTTACATTTAATTCGACATCACAGTCTTATTCGATACTCAAAAATGTCGAGTCCTGTGTTAAAGTGAGGTTATGTCACAAAAAATATTCATTGACATTTCGCTAAAAAAAACATTAAAGATACTAAAGAAACTTGTGTCATTTATTTAAAATTATGAATTAACACACGATGTAGGAAATGACACATTTTGATTTACATTTTGACGTCTGAAGGAAATATGACACTGATTGCATAACAGATCTATTTCTTTCAGAAACAATGGAAGGACATCAAGCACAAGTACGAAAATTAAATGGGATATTTTAGGAGTGATGTGTTAGCGATCTATATTTAATGGATGTATTCAATCTCTGGATATATGTAAATAAATAACAAATTACATGAATTCACACTAGCAAATTTATTCACTTTTTATATGATATATTTTTATTTTGTATGTTGTCGTGATATATAATATATATTATAAGATACAAGTCGATATACATATTTTATATTTATTTCAATTTATCATTTATATGTATCATATAGAAAGATAAACAATCATTCTACAGTTGTAACAGAAATGTCATTTTTGTCATAAACATTATTTTTATATGTAAATGGTAGTAGTCCTTTATATTTTAAGCACTTTTTAAGTACAAAACTGATTATAAATGAGTATTGAGCTTATTTTTAAATGGTGCCTCTGGAGTTATCTGCATTAGGACCCATGAAACGACCAGCAAAAAGAGTCTCACTTGTTATTAGATCAACAATGATAAATATAAATGGTCTATTTGCTATGAAAGTTGGAACAATGTTAGCCATGAGAGGTACCACTGCAAGTTCTGTAATTTAATGAGTATTAATATAGCGAGTTTTGCAAGTTGCAATACATTGAAAGAAATCATATAAATTAATTACTAATAATTACCCGTTACTGCAGCAGCAATGGTTCCTTCCTCGTCCACTTCTATCTTAGCATTTTGAATGATATTTGCTAATAGCAAATATTCATTAAATACGATTCCAGTGAAATTTGCTGCTACACTAAAAATGTCCTGTACACCCATCTAAAACAGGTAACATTTTTTGGTTTCATTTTTTGAATACATAGTGCTATTAATAATATTTATAATAATAAGAAATAGCAGCAACTATTAATATCTGCAATTAATTGTATTAATCAGAACTCTATTGTAACGTGATTATAAAAAATAAACAAAAATTGTTTAAATTTTTATTGCTTAAATTTTATTTTAAATAAATGATCAATAACCATTTAAATATCATAAACTTATGATTAGTAAAGTTTTATGTTATATGTATATTAAATATAATTAAATGTAATTGCTACTTACGTGCATTAAAGGTGAACGTAAATCTAGTTTACTTTCGATACTAAATTTCGGAATAGCAAGTATCAGTTCAGTTTCGTTGAGACTGGTGAGTAGCGTTTTTATCGGTACATACGACAGATCTTTGACTAGAATCTGAAGATATGGATCGCTTTCTTTATGGGACGGAAGGATTATCAGCATAGACGTTCTGCCATTCTGAAATATCAATTTTATGAAATGATAATTTCAAATAATTTTATTCTTAGAAATAAAAAAAATATTCTTAAAAATAAAAACTTAAATATTAAATTTCTGACATATTTACAATATTTTAATATTTATTCAAAGAGAATTAATGAAAATAAAATTCCCTCTAGAATAAATAAAGTAAATTTTACTCTTCATATTTTGTAAAATATATATTACGTAAAATTCATTAATTTTTGTATCTTTTTCTTCAAACAAAAATGATATGGAGTGAACTTCCGGAAACATTCGAACGCCCGATGATCATGAATTTTGGCAAAAATACTCTAAATAACTGCCATTAAATGGATTATCACCGACAAAGAAGTTTAATGCCAAAAATCGTAAAATTATACATCTATTCTCAATATTTTTAAAATTTAAGTATTGATCAAATCTTACCGAGTACGGGATTTCTACCACATCAGCATCAAGAGAACCTATATTGCCATATCGATATTTCGAAGAGTTCTCCATCATAAGAACATCTTGGCAGCCACTCTGAGGAACATGGAAGCACCGTATACGCGTAGCATCTTTATCGAAGGATTTCAACCATCGCCCTTTGAAGTACAAGGACGAAGTTAACAGCATCTGAGTATCGGCGCTAAGAGTGCCTGGAACAACGTGATAAAATGCAGTTAAATTAAAAGAATATCTTAGCTTCGAAGCTGAAAAAACATTCCTTTAGAAAAAATTTGTAAGCTCAAATGATTTGTTCAGAGAAATCGTATAGGAAGAGATAAGTTCAATAAAAGATATTCAGTATATATAGTATATCTATACGTATGTCAAGCATGTGCGAAACGTACTTCCGAACAATATAAGAAAATTAGTAGACCGTTATACATGTGAGAACATAATAAGAAATAGGAATTAAAGGCTCATTAATTAAAATCTTGACAACATATTATATCAAAGTTAAATTATTGGAGAAGCATCCCTTCTCTAAAGTGAACATTTATATTTATATTTATAATAAAACTTAAATTAAATACCAGGCTGAATGATCGTCTTGATATTATTTCGCGTGTTCTCACGAACCCAGGAATTGATGGTGTTGGCCGCGTGATTTGTATTCCCAAAATTCAGCTTTTGAATATTAGTTCCATAATAAGTATTTAAGGCGGTCATATAATTAGTAGATGCCGCAAGAGCCGGGTTGATCCACAAGCAAGTTGCTACATCGATTTCCGTGCCATTTTGTTGGCTCTAGAAAATAATGTAAAAATAACATGAAAAGAAAAGTCAGATAAATATTTTATGGAAAGAAAGGACGCATCGATCGGTATAATTTTCTAAGCAAATTTAGATTAATTCTGTTGTTGTGGATAAATATAAGAGTATCACTTAATTAATCTACAGTATCGAAATTACCGATTTTATGTTTAAATAAAGTTTAATAAGCATATATTTAATGTACTTTTAAAGGTATAAGAGAGCGTTCCGCTATTCTCCTGATGATATATTCTTCTTCTGGTAATCTCAGAGCTGCAAGAAGCTCGTGACGTGTTCGACCACCCGTACCTTCCACCAGACTCGTAAGGGCGATCTTCGCACTAACGGGAGACAGTATCAAATTACCCTCCACGTTCTCGTTTATTCTCTGCGGTTGTCATCATAAAATTTTCATAAATATAAGAACCATTTTTTACATACGTATATTTTAATTTAACAAAAAAATTATGTTTTATTTTAGAAGTTAAAATATAACTGTAACTGAGAGATCGAAATGTAGAAATATGAAAGAATTTAAGAGGAGCCAAAAAGTCATCTATTTTACCAATTGCAGAACATAATAATTTTCATAGAATGACATCGTATATATAATATTAGTTACTTTCACAGATTTGGAAATCCTCCAGAATTACATTATACCTATGCATTAATATACATATAATTTTTCGGTTCGAAAAAATTTAACTCGTGTCATTTTTTGCGCAACTGCAGTATATACAACAAACTTACAAAAGCATTTGAAAATCTTCGAATAGTTTTTTTCAATTTCTAAATATAACTTCTTTTTATTAAACGTCCAGAAATAAAAAGCCTTTAAAGTAAGAAATTAATTTTTCATTTAAAAAATTTGAAATGTATAATATTTTTGTTCTCTTTTTAATATCAATTCCTTTCAAATTCATTAATTTTTTCCGACAATAATGTAAAGCATGTATATCTTCCATTTTTCTCATTTGCATTTTACTAAAAATGTCTTTCTCACCTGCAGGAGATCGATGTTGAAAAAAGAATATCGATCCTCGGTACTGAGTACAGCTGGAACAACTGTTGGAAATGACATATTATAATACAATGTGTGATTTCATGACAAGATTAAAATCGTACATATGATATGCATTTTTGTAGCAATTGTTTCAAAAGCACGACATTTCTTATTTCATCTAATGATACATTTGAGTACGATTATATGTTTAATCAGATGGATATCATTCACTCTAAAAAATGTCAGTGTAAATTTAACATTCATGCGATGTCTATATAATTCTCACCATGTTGATGTAAATTAACACCAGCATAGTGTAGATTTAAAACCCATGATATTAAATTCACACTATATTGTTGGTATTATAATTTAACACCAACACAATGAGTATTATAGAGACACTGCACGATGTTAAGTTCACCCTGCTATCAGTCTCATATACACCGATTAGTTGCGCATCTAACATTCTGAGCATGGAAAATAACTTTGGAACAGCTATCGGAAAAACAAACGTAGAGTGACTTATAACGATGCCACCCCTTAAAAGAGCTGCACGTTCCCGACGATAATCTATCCGGATGCCGTTGCTTTAATCTTCCGATCACCGTTGCACCGATAAAAACGAGAATTAAGTGCTCTGCTTTCCCGTAGAGATTTCGACAATTGGCTACAGCCGCAACTGCACCGATTTTCGACATTACTCTCAGAAAAAGGATAGAGTTCTCTGTCTCTGCCGAGAGTTCTTGGCCATCGATTGCCAAAACAATACCTGCGCGCATCTCTCCATTGCACACATCGGGGAAATGCAAAATACCGCGCTACGACCTGCATTGTCTGCATCTCTACCGCGACACAATAAACATGCGCGATTTAAAGAGCCGACCGCTTTTGCGTATACACACACGCCCACACTTATACACACACTCGTACACAACATTGCTGCGCGGCTCGCGCCGATTTCTTGCCCGTATTTTTCTCTTTATTTTTTTAATACATTTACTCTATCGTTCATAATAAAGCACGTTTACATTATTCAAATTGCATCCGATTCATTATGCAATCTCTCCTCCCCGCATGAACCTCTTTTGCGAATCGATAAATACTTCCGACGAGCTATAGTCCGCGCGAAAGTCAGGTTGTTACAGACTATAATGATCGTCACGTGGTGTATCGAGAAGAATTTTTATTGTCTTTCTCTTTTGTCTCGAGCTAAAAGCGATTCAATAGGAATTCCATTTGTATCCGAATAAAATTAATAATTAACGGCAAAGTTAGTAAAGGATGATAACGCAAGGAAGGAGATTTAAGAAATGATAAACTAATCGTGAAGGACGCCAGGTGACTTTAACGAGTGTTACTTTACTTTGTGAGCGATGATGTAATATCGCAGAAAATACAGTCCGATACTTTTACGAGCGATTTTAATTTGCGATGGAACACGAAGTTTGAGATTACGATATTGAATGTTTATCCTTTACATATGAATGGAAACTCCCAGAAGAATAAAAACACGCAAAGTTAAAAAATCAACAACAACAATTCCGAAGTTGATAATGTACGAAAAATTTGTGTAAGATTCGAAAATTGTATTATATATAT